CATACCCAGCCTCCTCCCACCCGCTGGCTGAGCTGCAGTGGAGCCCACTGGGCCTGAGAAGTGGTGGGCTCCACACCTAGGAGGATCACCCACAGCCTCCCTTTGCCCTCCCAGCTCTGCTCATTTCTGCCCTGGAATTGCTAGCTCCTCCCAGCAACTGCCCTCTCTGGCCACCCTCTCCTTCCTGGCTGTGGCTGTGGGTGAGGCCTGCCTGCCTGTCCTTCATGCTGAGCTTACTGCTCTCAGTCATCTCTGTGCCTGGAGCATGCAGAACTCCTGGCCTTCACACGTTATTCTCTTTTCAGGGGGATGTGCCTGATGTCCCTTTAGGCCAGTTCTGTCCACGTTTCATACCTGCATGCCATGCCATTCTCCAGCCATTCAATGCCCACCTCTGTTCTATTAGGCAAAGTCCTACTCACCCATAAAGACCAAAGTGAGCATCACTTCCTCAGCAGCTCAGGCTCAGGCCACACATGCTAATGCATGTTCAGTCTCGCACACACACAAACACACTGCTCCCACACATGTGTTCAGCCTTGCACACACATGAGCACACGGTTCCCACAATAGCTGCCTCCCCAGCATGCCTATCTCCTTATAAGGCCTCTTTGTGTATGGCAAGGCCCCGGAAGTGGCGCTGGAACTGTCAGCCTAGGTCAGCAGGCCTGAGGGGGATTTCCCCCAAGCTTCCTGTGCATCTGGACTAGGCCAGTGTTGGCATCCAGTTTTGCTGGGGCAGGGTGTCATCACTGTCTACACCACATATGACGACTCAGGGGTGGGAGCACCAGACTTGTCTGACTGCTAAACTGTGCTAATCTGCCCACCCCCATTTTTCAAGGTCACTAACAGGGCAGGACAGGGCTAAGGCCAGAGCCCACTTTCAAACCCCTAGAATCCAGCTGAGGCCAACCACTCCCAACCCCTTCAGTTCCAGGGAGCCCAGAAGGAAGCAGCTCTGTTGCTGCAGCCTGGGGTGAAGGTGGGGGTCCCTGGATCCCAGGTGAGGCTCAGAACTGGTCGGCAGAACCCAACTTTCCAGCTCCAACTGTCACAGGTTCACCATGTGGCCAGGCATTTCTGTCCCTTGCAAGGTCTTGGTAAGAGTGTGCAGATATGTAAAGCCTGTCTAGCATGATGTTCCAGAGTTCCAGGCTGTGCAGATGGAGAGGCTGGGTCAGCTGAGGACAATGGTCCCCCTACTAGCAAGCCCTGTCTCCCTGAGAGGACTTGGGGAGCTCTGACTATTTTTTCCTGAGCCCCAAAGGTTCTCAGATGAGAAAGGGAGGGGCTGGTAAAGACAGTCACATGAGCAATGGGACAGGCAGGGGAAGGAGGTTCAGAATATACCTATCAGCAGTCACACTTTAGCATGACTTCAGACAGAACACTTCCTAGTCCACTGAACCAACACCTTAAAGTGGGCAGGGGGTACAGATGAAGGGAGAGGGAGAGGGGAAGATGTATTTCCCTTTTTTCTTAACTTTTTCACAACTTCTGCAAAGCAACTGAAACCAGCAAGGTCCTCAGCAATGACTCCCAACCCCCAAAGGAGGAAGTGAGAGCCCAGAGAGAGGAGGGACTTCTCTAGCCACTGTGGCCTCAGGTCTGTAGCCTCTTAGCTTAGGAATCATTAGATTGTCCCTGGGGTCAGACCCAGGGAAGCAGCCTTGGGAACTTTGACTTAATCATTCCCAGGAAAACCTGTACTCTCTGCCAGCCAACCTCCTGCTGAGGAAAATGCTGTCAGGGCTGCTTTGCCCAAGTGTGTTGCCTCAGGGGTGATTTCTGGTGGAGACAAAGGCAGGCTGAGGCTGTGGCCTCTGGGACACCCACCCACTTATCACCATGGCTCTATAAGCCAGTACCCTGTGGGCCCATTTGACTGTAAAGACAGACGGAGGAGGGGTCCCTGAGGATAGCATTGGGATTTGCAGTCCATACCCAGTGCTCTGTGCCCTCTCACCTCTGAAATGAGTGAGGCTGGGGGAACATGGGCCAAATCCTGAGAAGCTCCCTGCTCTGCCCCAGCCTGGAGCCAGAACCTCTTTGTGGTCCCAGCAGCACTTCTCCCACATCCACACACAGTGAATGCTCAGTATGGATGTACCCAGGAGCACCCACGGCTGGCAGTGTGAGGGCAGAGAAGAGTGATATGGGGGCTAGGAGAGGGTATGCGTCTCCAGGGTGGGGTATGGGTTTCCATCCAGGGGGTGCCAAAGACCATGCACTGGGGCGTGGACATAATGCCCATGGGGGCAGGGGTATTTGATGTATCCCTAGAAGCAATTAGAGTACCTGACAAATAATAGATGCTCAATAAATATTTCTTGAATGTGGTTGAATGGATGAATCATACTTTCACGTCTGTCTTAGGGGATGGTCTATAAGGGATATGCCATATTACTTCAGTGGGATATGAATTCAATTTGTAAATATTTACTGGAGAGCATGTGCTCACATTTTTTTCCTGATAGGGTCAATGATCAGAAAACGAGGCAAAAAGCTTGGAAACTTGCAATTTAGAGAGTCCACTGAGGATATGGGAGAGTCCTCTCTAAAGCAAAGCAAGCCAGGTGAAGCTTCAGGCTGCCCTGCCAAGGGTCTCAGGCCTCAGGGCTCCTTCCTTACAGTGCTGGGTTCAAATTCTGAGTCTGTCCATACTGGTTAGGTGCCCCCAGCCAAAGCTTTCCTCACAACTCCATCCAGAAAAGGCTGGGGCTGAACAAGGCATCCACTGTAGGTTTTTTCTTACTTTCCAGAGAAGCTCTGCCAGCCTTCCCTGAATCCAGACATTCGGCTGTATTTGTGGCTAATCCAGGCAGGAGCTGCCTGGAGCAAGGATCTCTGCTTTACAGGCGCTTAGGGAAGTCCCCACCCAGCTCAGAGGTTGGCTGAAGACTGCTGCCAGCAAGCCATTTTGCAGCATGCTAAGCAATTACTCAACTTCCTGTTATGTGTGGAACAGCCCTTGCCACCCGAGACAGACCAGCCAACCCCTTCTCCCCTACTCTGCTCTT